GCTTTACAAGGGTTAACAGGTCCCACAGGTTAACAGGTAACAGAGCTGCAAAGGCATGAGGCATCGACAATGATCGATGAGGCCCAATGCCCCCATCAAGCCGAACAGCGCCAAAAACCAACATGATTAAGCGGAAGGTCAGAAAAATATTTGTAGTAATGAAAAAGGCTAACGAAAGAGCTTCAGGAGAGAAATGTATGAGATGCTCAACATGTTCCCACCAAAGGTACGACGAGTATTGATTTGACGAAGACGGGGACAATGCAAAGTGCGCTTCATCAAACGAAAAGTGTGGAATGCACCCGTTCGAGTTCTGAACCGGCCCCAACTTTACTCGTACCTAAGTTACCCATAAAACGTTTAAACCACAACAAGAACATGAAAAAGGGAAGTCAATATGCTTGAGTGAGAAGAGCAGCCCCGCGAGGACTGAATGGCATGCGCACACACAGACGCGGCTCGCAACAAACAAACAGCTGCAATTGCCGTAAAGTGAAATGTTCCTAGTGACCACGGCAAAAGACATTCGAATCTACGACAGTCACATGATGATGGTTCTGCCGAGTATTTTTCCAGCATTTGGCGATCTGGAGGGTAGAATAACCAACGAATTTGCGAAAAGGAATAACTGGAAGGAAAGAGGAAATTATGATTGATCAGAAAGTTCGGATTATCGTTCGGATGAGGATTTCTCCGGAGCGCAGAGAGAGCGAAGCCTATCTAGTCGATATGTATCAAGCCACTCGCGGTATTGCTCGGTAATCTTCCTCAGCGCTGATTATGAACACTCTCTCAGCGTTAAAAAATCTGGTTTGATTCAGTAATTGCTGTGGAACTCTTATGCATATTTTCATGGTTACCCTTGCTGCGCGTAACACTTCGGTCCTTCCCCTAAGCAGAAGCGACGTCCTCCCACCGACGCGATCTCGCGACCGACAAGCGTTCGGTCGCAAAAGTATGAACGCGACCTCAGTGTTCATTTCGCTGACTAGTCACATGTTCTCTTATGCCTTTCAATGTTTCTTCCTGTACCTCTTCTACTGGTAACCAGGGTCAAGTGTCGTTAAAGAATTCTCAAAGAGCGGGTCAAATCTAGCCGATTGAAAAGCAGAGGGGGTCGTACTTGGAGATGAGAAGACGACGGAACTGCGGCAAGATGTATGCGGTTTCCAATGCAGTTTCCAATGCTTCCTAAAGCTCTTCCAAAAATTATGTATGAGCGAAGTCATGGCCGGAGGGTGACCAACCTGCGCGCCAAAAGTAGTTTCCTCGTCATCGGGAAAAATCCTCAATGGCGAATTTTATGGCCTATTCTGGAAGAGTTGTCACGATGTCATTCGAGAAAAAGTCTTCTTCTTTTGCATACCCGTTTTGCTCTGTCGTGGGTCCTACACTGCCCAAGCTCACCACCCTCCTGATAACAACTAGCCCCTCCCCCCTCAAAAAATACCATCTGTAGCGAGACGCTAATCAACCCTTCCTTCACTACTCATTTAAATTCTGGAAGCCGCATAAGATTTTCTAATGATCATCGTGATAGAATTTTCTTGGCTCAAGAAGAAGTGCATAAGTAAGTAGCTAAAGCTCTAACTTTGAGCTCTTGAGATGAATAAGGTGGAGGAGGAGCGCTAGATCGAGTTTGTTCACCAATAGGACATGCCGTACATGTCGTATTCCCAGCATATTTTCGTGGTGGTAGGGCAAAATGGTGTAACGGTAATAAGTGGGGCCGCTCACAACAGTCCAGGAGTCAATTTTCGGAGCATTTTTCGCTCAGGCCATCCAAGTATTCCACCGGTTTTGGGACCGAGTTGGCTACCGTTAGGCAGTTATGCTGTAGCAGAAAAATTGAAGATTTTTGCGAAATACGAGCGCTCCCCTCTCGAAAATTCTGCCTCCTCTAATGTACGAACTCCTTCTCCCCATCCTACCTAGTATTTTCCCGATGATCCCTTCAAATCAAAATTCTCCCCATTTGTGAAGTTTTTTTTCAATAGAAACCCTTCCAAGTTTTCCCCCTAAAAACTCTCGTCGAGCTAGGGAAGCAGGGAGGTATAAAGCGCACTACGAACGTGCAGAAGCTCGTATGAGGGGATGAAAGGCTCGTTACATACGCGACGCGCGTCCCCCCTGCCATCGCGGCTGTCCGCTCGCGACTGGCTGTGTACCTCAGTTACGGCTACGATTTTGAATGGAAGTTGAATGCGTGGCGCGTCTTGAGGAGAGGATGACATGAGCCCACTGTCCCTTTCTTCGAGAATGACGTCAATCGAGTCAAGCACTACAGTATCCAGCGCTCAACAATGGGTTTCGGTGAGAGGGTGGAATTCGCCCACAAGCATGCTATATGTTCGTTTTTTGTTCGTCTAATGGAACTACCATGCGACGATGCATTTCGCTGATTACATCCCGATTATAATAAGATTAGATTCTACAGAGAAAAATGCCTAATTGGCGGTAAAAGAGGAGGACCTCGGTGGGAGGTTGGCAATCGGCCAACGGTCATTCATTCATGACTTTTTCACCGAATGATGTACTATCACATTTATATCTCTGTACTTATCAGCGTACTATTTCCTGCAATTCGCGCAGATGGTAAGTGGTTTATCGCAATCGGAAGAGACTCGTTAGCTCATCATCGCACTGACTTGTATGGCGATAGGTGCATAGAAAGAAAACCCCGTACTCCATGGGTCCTCTTCCCTGGCTTTCGATATCGGGGAGTATGGATGTGAGTTCGTCTCCTAACGTCGCAGTCCGCGTGTTCTTGTGAGCTACTTGATAGTTCTGCGAGGTTTCAAGGCAGCGTTGGTTAGTTTTTTTTCTGCGCTCTGCGTAGCTCAGCGTGAGGAACTGATGAGCTAACGGTGGTCTTTGATTGCGATCACGCACTCACCATCTGCGCGAGTTGCAGGTAGTCTGCGCTTCATCGCTGTTCTACGGACCGTGGTAACAGTTTTTGATAGGAATTTGCTATTTTGAAGGCGGTCAGATATTCGACTCGCCTGAGTCTTCGTAGTTCTCAAATGGCCGACAATGATGGCGAACAACTCAGCATGAGTTCTTCGAGTCAGCGCTGGCAATGTCTCCATCGCACAAGATGATAAGTTTAAAAGAGAAGGCGGGATACCGTACCTCTAGAAATTGCGCATGAGATGAAATTAGTTGGCCCTGTGCGCGCGCAAGGGGAGGAAGCTCCAGGGTGGGACCAGGGGGAAAGCGACATTAGTCTAGCCCTCCTCAAGTAACCAGTGCACCTAGGCGAAAACTGGGTGCTACTGTGAGCACTCGATGCTCCTACACACTCCATTCCACGTACAGTTTAGGATTAATGTGTCCATAAGGGATCAGGCTAACCTGAGGAAATTGTTAAAGAGCAGCTATCACAAGAATGCTTAGATATGGGCAAAAGTCGGACCCGGGACGGGATTCGAACCTGCATCTCCCGCTTTCCAGGCTCTTGCTTTATCTATCACGCGACCGGGGCCTCTGTTCAAGGACACCTGGTGTAATCGCAGCGAGGTCCTGATGCAAACTTATGGATGCTAGTGATTTATCGGGAAAGAGAAAGGGACTTTCCTTCAAGGAAGCCCCGAGCAAGGCCTTGCATTGAACCACCTCTCTGAAGAGCGAGACATGCAGAGATGAAGGATGAGAGAAACAGGCTGACGAAGAAAGGACCACAGTCCACACAGAATGAACGCGGTGAGCAGTAGCAGTGTTCATAAATGGGACTGCTGCAAATATCCCATCCACAAGCTTGATGTAATTTCCAGTTTGCGTTCAGCGCTTATCATCAGACGCAACAAGTGGCGTATTTGGTTGCTGATGAGAAACAATTGTTTGCTCACTGTTGATTTTTCCTGTTTCATAAGAGCTACCGTACACAAGTCGACAGAGCTGGCAATTACTACCATATTTGCTGACTGATTCGAGGTGTGTACTTCCCATCCCCCGCTCGCTCGCCCTGCGTGGCCACGGCCACTACTTCATAAGAGGAATCGGGAGGATGATCGATTAGTCGTAGAGGGGCAGAGGAACAGGTTTGGAGAAGGTCGTATTTTGCAAAATTTTTGCACAACGTCACGGTGTACCCTTGGTGCGTTTTTCTTTAATGATGACCGCCGCACCCTCCGTCACATACTATTGAGCCGTGAAAGTGGAATCCTCTGAAAATGCGGACAGGCTCTTCTAAGTAGGTTAGAAAGTGCACAGCTTAAGCTACACAATAAGTTATTGCGGAATGCACAATGCCAACGGGGAACTCGTCTGAAATCTTTCTGAGTCGTGTAGAACACATGCTTTTTTCGCGTGTATTCAACCGTTCCACTTCGCTTTTCGGCATTTTTCCATGCATAGCACCATGCTACCATTTAAGATTGAGTACTATCGTGTCTTATTCCTCTATCCCTTGTGCGCCGTAAATCGGTGATATCCATGAGAAATGCTTCTTCAAAGCTGCTAAAATCGCTCGAACAGCACTGCTGAACACCTTTAGAAGCCCGTGCTTATTCTACATATCCCGGAGATGCAGTGGGCGTGACTGCTACACCATTTGGAACTTGGCGGATTGGAAAGGTGACGGAAAGGAGGGGATTGATAGAGAGGGGTACCGCCGCTCTAAGTTATGTAAAAAATCATGCCTCTGTCAGGCACGCAAGACATGGTGACAGTTGTTTCAGATGGGAAAGCCCACAAAAACGCATCTTACGCCGTGCTCACTGAACTACGCCTCCGCCCTCACCATCTTTGGAATATGGAGTGTAGCCTTTATGTAGTTGCTGCTTTTGTTTGTCAACACAAGCGAGGAAGAATGTGTGTTTATTGGCGAAATAAATATGAAAGTTTACAAAGTCGTTGTTGTTTACAAAGTCGTTGTTTCATAATCCGACAAAGCCGGTGTTGAAGCCTTGGTCGTAAGCGTTGAAGCTTTCGCTTTCGCTGAATCCAAAGGAGTTACCGTACGCATTGCCACCACCAAAACCTCCAGGCATTCCGAAGCCAAATTGTCGTCTCGGTCGGAGGTGCCTAAAATGAACAGGACTTGAAGATCAGTCCAAATTCAGTACCTTCAAAACAGCAAGCACTTACGGTATATAGTATGCCGGAACATATACTGGCACAGCGTTGATGAAAACTAAGAGAGCGATGAAGCAGAGGAGAGTGAGCAGTCGGTTCATGGCTGAGATCTGACCGCTTATCACCCTTGCTGACCATTTATACGGATATTAAGGGCAGAATTTGCTGAACATAGGGTTTAGGCAGGTTTTTTGTCCTTTAGTGCACGTAAAAAGGCCATTTTGAATATAAACAAAAAAACCGGATACCTAGGTGGAATGAGAGCGATGACGATGTCTTCGCCAAGAACGCTCTCAAGACCACCTTAGTGTCCTCACTTTAGGGCTGTTAATATTAATGGGTTCATCTGACCCATAGTATATAACACGTGATAAACACAAACTAACCCCAATGTGATCTGTGAACGATGACCCTGATGTTTAAGGACGAACTGTTTGCCGTCCTGCAAGGACGGCCCTTGCCATGTGAGAGGCGGTTGGGTGCGCAGCTGCAGTAGCACGCCACTAGTTCGCTCAAAATACACTGGAACGGGACTGTAGGGGTAGCGGCACTTGAGTGCGATCTCCATACTCCGCAAAAGCTCAGCACTTTCGTCGAGGCCAAGGTCCCGCAGCGAAACAGGCGTTGAGCGGAGAACAACCAGGAGTGAGAGGGTGGAGACAGCTAGCGCGTGTGACCAAGGTTAGGCGGTTAGGCGTATAATTGGTCGCGCAGTAGCACGAGCGGAGTTTTGCGCTGCAACGTAACTACCCTTCAGCCTCGCTCTCATGTAGTTCTGAGCAGAGGAAGTGGCACACTACTGCGGCTGCGGGCCTATTAATCCCCACTTGGCACGGACCAGGATCACACAGGTGACTGTGCAGTTTGTTCCAAATACCCAAGATTCTCCCTCCAATTGACGAAGAAAGAGGCTTCAGATGGCGAGATGTGTCTTCGGCGCTTTTCGGCTGAAAGGTGGTGGAGGGAGGGGATGGCGTTCTGCGATTTCTCCTTTTTCATTTGCGAGCTCCCATTAACCCGTTACCTAACAGGGATCATCTGATCCACAAACGAATTGCACAAGGGGGCCACTTTAGTAACATGAAATCACAGGCCTTCACATGGTACCTGTACAAGCT